ATGTATCCTGTATATACTTCGTTTGCATTTTTATTTGTTGTCTCCCCCATTAAAGGAAACCTTGATGAGAAAAGGTTTTCATCTGCATATATGAATGTTCAGAATCTTGAGTGCAGGGCCTGTTTTGTTTTGTTTTGCTTTTTGCTTCTTTTTTTAATCCCCAGCGCTTAAGACAGTGCCTGAAAGATAGTAAGTACTTAATAAATGTTGTCTGGTTGATTGATTTTAGGATATGTTTGCTGTGTTCAAGGCTTTGATTATACAAAGTAAAATACAAGATTAATACAAAATACAAAATACAAGATTAAAAAAAAACACCATAGTTCTCGCTTTAAGATACTTGCAATCTAATGGGGAGGGAATATAATGTGATACAGAGAAGAATGTGATAAGAAGGAAGGAAGGAAGAAAGGAAGGAAGGAAGGAAGGAAGGAAGGAAGGAAGGAAGGAAGGAAGGAAGGAAGGAAGGAAGGAAGAAAAAAGAGAGAGAGAGAAAAAAAAAGAAAGGAAGGAAGGAAGGAAGAAAAAAAGGGAGAATAGAAGGAAGAAAGGAAGGAAGGGAAGGAATTACTGAATGTGCTAGGAATTGTTCTAGACACTTTCCCCAAATTATCTCATTGATCCTCATAACAACTCCAGGAGGTAGGTAAATGATCCCCATTTTATAGTTCAGGTAGCTGAGGCAGACAGAGGCTAAGTAACTTTCCTAGGGTCATACCACAAAGAAGCATATGAGGCTGGATTGAAACTCAGGTCTTCTCAGTTTAGCTTCAGCACTCTATCAGCTGTGTCACCTAGCTGCTTGATAGGGACAAAAAAGATGCAGGCAAAAAATTTGTTTATATAGAGTATACACCTATATATACATATATCTGTGTGTATGTATGTATATGTATATGGTGGTAGACCCATGATTTTATCGATGTAGAGATCTTCCAGTTGGAAACTTCCTCTGCTGTCACAGATTGGCAACTTATTTGTAATTTATAACCTTAGAGAACTGCCTGGGGCAACTATATATACACTTAACACAGAGAAATGTATAAGGGATAATCATCTCATGTAAGTTCTTGATAAGGGTGTGATGGAGGACAGGATTGAAATTTACCCTATGTAAATCTATTATATTATCTGATTTTTTCCCCCTTTATGAAGCTCTTATGTTTTAGGTGAATGCGATTTGCCTCATAGTGTATTCAAACTCATTTGACAATCAGCCATATCATTAGAGTTCCTTATGTATAGTTACATGAAAATATTTTTCAACAAATAGAGGCCATTTTATATTACATGCCTGTGTAGAAAATGATAATCTTTCCATTCACAGTGACCATTTCTGAGGTACCCCTTCAGTTTAAAAAAACAATGATAACCTTTTATCTATCAGGAGTCATTGCCTTGTAGTATGCAGTCAATGATTTCATTACATGTATTGTAGGAATAGGGGGAAATCGAGTGATAATTATAAATTCATAAATACGTAATTCATAAGCAAAAGGATTTTTAAAGCAGTGAATATAGAATTCTATGTTTCTTAGAGAAAATAACAGAGATGTTCTGATTAAGCCCATATCCTGGCATATGTTAAATTCCAACCAAACTGATGGGGTACATTTTCTTTTCTGAAGCCACCTTTGATAAGAAATACATTACAAACTCATCAGTTTGGTTTCCTGTTAACAAAGAGACAGCAGCCGTCTGGATCATTCTGGATCCGCAGTGAAACTGCCACACCATGTATCCTCTAACTAAAGCTGTGTACGTCTGACAAGGGGCAGATGAATCCAGGAGTTATTGTGCAGGGGCTTAAATCTATGCGGCAGCTGACGGTTGAAATAATCATCTATGTATCGCTCTGAGCAAGCTGGGGAAAGGTTGAAGCTGTATATTTTCAACATATCGAGTCTAATGGCTAATCTGTTGTCTCGTACAGGGTGCTGGGTGGACATCTACCAAATGCTGACAGTTCCGAGGAATTGCTTCTGGTAGATATCGTTTACCTGAGTCTTGGAGTGTTGGGTAGTCAAACAACCAGCTTAGGTGGCACAAAAAAATCCATCTTTGCTCAGATCCCAAGACCCAAAGGATCTATCAGCATCAGCAGCAGAGCAATTGTTAGCATTGGGTAATAACGCCAGGTCAGGAGAGACTCTACCCAGCCATCTGGCCTCCTTAACTTTTACTCTCTGACTTCAAATGTTTCTCCACTGGAGACGGGAGAACATTCTCCTTGAGGATAAGTGGGAAATAACTTAGGGAGTTATGGGAGGCCGGCTTAGATGAGGTAAAGAGAAAAAGGGAAGAGCTATGGCTGTTGGAAATGGGGCCGAAAATGTTTCATCTCACTCCTTGAACACTCAGTCTTTGAAGAGCTTCTTAAAGACCATCAGTCTCTCCAGAGTTAGAAGGAGAAATGTACATGGAGAAGGCAGAAGACTGATCAGAGGCAGAGAGGTATTAGAGGGAAGTCAAACATATGTGATCACAAAGGATCCATCTTGATGGTCTCTAAACATATATATTAAGTCTCTTTCCAATTCCCTTTTTCCTTCTTACTCCTCAGGGATTGGTTGGATTAAATTCTCTCGATCCTTGGCCCAAGAATGAAAGGCACAGTAACACTTGGGTGAGGCATCTCTTTTGAAAACACAGTATCTTGCACATTAACAGATACTTAATAAATATTTGTTAATTGATTGAAAGTGAATTTCATGACCGGGAAGAAAAATCGCTAATGTTCCAATGGTAGACTGGCCCTACAAAGAAGGACATGGGCAATACATTCTACAAATAGGTTGTTCTCTAAATTGGTGTGACAGTTATCTAAGTTAATTTGATTGGATCAAGTGGCAAATTTATATCAATCTTGAAACTACAAATATGCAATTCCAGTTGGATTTTAGTCATTTATTTATTTTTACCAGGATGCAGAATGTGAGGGTTATAGGAAAGAACTTCTTCAACTATAACAACAATAACAAATCAACTCATATTCCTCCTACAGCATTCTATAGTCCAAAAAGCCTTCTCATGGAGGGCATTGTATTCTAGGCTGAATGGACTTCTGATCATATATTTATGATCTTTTTTCTTACTCCTACACAGTAACTGAATGCTTTCATTACTTTGCGTTGTTGAATTCAAACTTATAAAATTTCAGTCACCTAAGTGAGGAAAAAAAAAGCCACTAATATACTCTATTAAAAGGACTAGAATTTAAGAATGCCTTGAAGAACAAAGCTGTATTAATTGATGTAGTGCATTTGCACACACTAGAGATAGTGGGACGAGTATTTTTCTTTCAAAGTAAAATTTTAACACTATCCTGTCTTTTTAATTTAAAGTACATTTATATAGATATGAGAAATTATAGTAATTTCTTAAACTTAAAAATCATTTTAACATTTTTGAATCAGTTGACTTGCCTGGTCCTTTATAAGCTATTGATCCTTGTAGTTCTTTTCTCTACTTTCATATCAATTTCATAAAATCTGGAAATTGAAAATACCCAACAAGCTTCTCCTCCTCAGCCAGCACATCCTATTCCCTTCACGTCCACAGTAGACTCTGCTGATCACCTTGTGTAATGAAGAGGTGCCAAGGTATAAGGGGAAGAGTGCCAGATTTAGAATCAGAGAACCTGGGTTGAAACAAGTTACTTTACGTATCTTGACCTCAGTTTCCTCCTCCGTGAATTGAAGGTATTGGACTAGATGGTCCCTCAGTTCTCTTCTGGCTCCAAATATATGGTTCTGTGAGCCTAGTCTGGCATGTTCCTGAAAGCTCAAAGACTGACATTTGTCAACAGCATTTCTTCCCCTTACATTTCTCATTCCAGTGGTAGGATTCTTTCCAATATCACCTAGGTTTGCCAAACTATCACTTCTTTCTTTCTCAGATTACATCTTGCCTTTCTTCTTTTGGCCCATTATGATATTTCAAAATGAGCTTAGAGCTGTTCAGTGAGGGCCTTTTCTGGGATGTTAGCAAACCTGGCCTCTTCTTGAAACCTCCTGGCACACTCTATGGCAGAGAAGGGTCATCAAACTGGTCAACAGAGAGAGATAAGCACCTTGTTAGATTCTGGCCCCACTGGGCCTCAGCCCTTTAACTGTAGATGTCACGGATCCATTGATTTCACTGATAGGCATGTGTTATTTCTATAAGAGAATCTATCTTGAATAGCTAATAATATACCCATAGGCAAAGATGATGCTGTCGATCTACTGCTAGTCAGATCCAGTGGGCCAGTACTTTGGGTTTGGTTCTTTAATATAGAATAGCTACCCACTTTTTCCTTACCCAGACACTCCTAAAATTCTGAGATTAGATGGCCAGAGTTTTAAGGGCAAATTGTTTGGTTATGAATGTGGATCCTCTCTTTGCTTACCTGTTATCTAATTAAAACATATTCCTAAGATCTTAAAATACATTCATCATTGATATTTGCTTTCACTACCACCCTGTTGGAGGCATCTTGACCATCCCTCTTATTTGTCTCCAGGACAACAGGTACAAGCCACCTTATGCAGGTTAGGCAGCTATATCAAGACTAAGGCTCCTCTATTAGACCTTCGCAAAAAGTAAAAGCTTCATGTGGGCTGATGACCTAAAATTTGATAATAATGTTCTGTGACTATAATTTTTAATAGGTTTTAAAAGACAAAGAATCTTCTCCTGTGGAAATGTGTGTGCATATGTGTGTATGTGTGCATGTACACCTATGGTGAGGGCAGATATGTGTATTTTGGGGGGCAACTCTTCCTTGAAGATGATCATCTTGGTGAATAAATCATTCCACAGGTGTTTCCAACACCAACATCAGTAACCACCACAACAAAATACTTTCCAGGAAGGTGTTAGAAGGAAAAATCTGCAATTCTCCAGTTTTAATTCAAAGCTCTGATTCTACTTCATGTTAAAGTTGGTTTGAAACATTTTATACAATAGCAATAAATGATAAGCATTAATTTCCCTTTTTTTTCCTTATTGTTTGGCAGTTAAGGATGAAACCAAATCACGTTACCCCAAACGCGCATTTGAGCTCCAGAACGCAACTTCAAAATCACATCTTGTGGCCAAGCCAGGTGAAGGAGTACCAGAACCTGTCCCCAATGTTAATTAACAGTAAAGGGAGTCTATTTCACCCAGCACTTTTTGCTATTACACTGTTATCTTCTGAGTGCAGTCGAACAAGAGAAATCTACCTCCTATGCACTGTAGCATGCATTTGGCTTTCCTATAAAATACTGATACCATCCCCCCTGTACTGGGGCTAGCCCACGGTTGTCATAGCTGCTCCCTCTTGCTAGATGCCTAGACAATCAAAGCACTTTGCATGACTTTTACTCTGAGTGTTTTCAGTGTGAAAATGACATTACTAATGACCTGTTAAGTGCTTGCAGATGTGGGTTGCTCCAGATGTGGTGATTAATAATGTAATGGAGATAGCTAGTCAACTAATGTTTATGGGTGGTTTGTGTTTTATCATCTTCTGGGTTTTATTTCCTTTGAATCCTTTCTACTTCCAGCCAGCAGGACATAACCTGTCCCTTTGGTCACCAGGCCACCATCTTCCTCACTCCTCTCAGGAAAAAAGGGGAGTAAGAATGGGGAGTGTCTCCCAGGCTGGAGCTCAGTTTAGGGTTCACCACACACTGACATTTGGGTTTTGCTGAAACTCTGAGAGTTTTGACATGCCCTAGCTGCTTCCAGGGGCCCATAAAGAGGGCTTGGTAAGCTGTGACAAGAGCAAGTATTTGTTAGCCTGGCTAAGGACAGAAAATGAAACAGATTTCCACAAAAATCTAGCTCTAAAAAATAATAATAAAAAATCTTTTTGAAATAAGCCAAGATTTCTGGCCAATGTTTCTGGAAGACATTGCCTTTCTCTTGCTTGAAAGGAGAATGCCGATGAAAAGTCAAGCAAAATGTTGTTACAGATGTTCAGCTCTGCATTAAGGCAGTTAGAATTACCACCACATCTTAAATCAATTCACAGAATGTTGTCTGGAGGTTATGTCATTGAAATAATGAATCCTCTTTACTCAAGTATAAGCAAACATGTTAAAACATCATTGTAACTTTAAATTAAACTCCAGTGTAAACCAGAGGATCTGAAGCCTCATTAGACTTGCCTGACATTTTTCGGGTAACGAGTCTTCTCCAACTGTAAAACTGTGAGATTCGGTGCCTATTAGACAAGCGAGCTCTGGGATGTTACAACAACGCATTAAGTGTTATACTTAGAGATGTGCAAAAAACAAGCTCTTGAATTTTATGAGGACTTGGAGGCTGGATGGAGTTCAGGTCCCATAAAAATTCCAGGTTGGATTCCTGAACTTGCTTGCAAATTCGAGAAACTGGGAAAAAGCAGCCTTGCTTAATATGACTACCTCTGAATATGGTTCCCAGAGTGTGAAGGTGAGTGAAAACAGCTAGAAACAGGGGCATATGATAATTAGCCAAAACAGCAGGTTAAATATGGGCCTCCAAAGCTGGGCTGTCGTACTGTAGTAGCCCATTATTTGAATCCATTTGTCTTTCAAGAGAGTAAGTAAATTTAAGACTCCTTTTTAATTCAATTTTTATTCCTCTCATGTAGACACAAGAGCCATGAAATGAAAATTGTATTTTATAGCTTAACTAAAGTTTTTCTAGATCCACTTTCTTTAAATATGCAGGAAATTGATAGAATCCATATAAAGGATAATAATTAAATATGGTTTATATCCTACTTATGAAGAAGAAGTTATCGCTGCTTCTCTTGTGGGATCCAAGCCATATGTAATGGTCTTCATTACACAGTGTCCATATATTTAAGCTGGAGACATTTCCCCTCTTCTCTTCAGGGAACAAATCTGAATTTCCAGGCCATGAGTGCCAAAGGAAACCTTTGAACACAAGTTTCATTTAAGAGAACAAATCCCAGTTTAAATGCAATATGATTATGATGGATGATCTTTCCTAGTTGCAATGAAAATAAATGGCTCCCTTGCTTAGAGTGAGGCTCAGCTGTACCACCAAAATGAGGTGTCTCTCTGGAGCTGGGTAACAGGTATTAACTTGTGAGCCCGGTAGCTAAAAAGTACTGCAGGTAAATACAGAGAGTGACAAGGTAAAACGTGATAGGCACTTAAGGAGAAAGGGAGATTATTTATTGTTGACACAACGCAAAGGGGAAAACCACAATCAAAGAACAGAAACAAAAAGAAATGGCAAGGATGATGACAGCTAGTATGAGTCTTAACTAATAAAGACTCTAGAATTGTCCCAAATAGTTGTAACATCTGGTAGCCTTGGAAAAAGCTAAAGGTGCTAGACCATGTAGAATGAAAGAGCTTCATTGGACTGACCCTTAACATCTGAAAGCAGAAAACATAAGTCATCCTAACCAGGAGGAAAAAAATAGCAGCAGCAGCAAATAACAACATACATTCCACCCCACCTCTCTATTTGTTTTTTGTTTTAATTTTTGCTCTTAGCATTCCACATAGCTCCTTTAAAATGCCTTGGATACCCAGGCAATCATGGCAGCCAATCTATAGTACAAATCAGACCTTGCATGTGTGTAGACATAGGGTTTTCCTTCCATCAATGAAACAGATTAAAACATGAACATATTCACACACACTTACAAACTCACACTCTTACTACAGGTCTTTCCCCTTACTAACTCAGATTCACATTCTCTCATCCTTTGAAGGGAAGATTAATTCAGGTCAAGCTCCAAGTTCCTATTTACTTGCTCAGAGATGCATATCAACTGGAAGTGATTTTTTTTAATACCATTTATATAGCTTGTATTTATTTCCCTTTAATCTTCTAAATGTGTTTAGTCTCTGTGTGATTTGCTCTGGATACCCATTTCTGATAAGAGATATGTTACGAGCACCTTAGTTCCTGCTGGGAACACTGGGTGATTGATTGGGTTGGACAGAGCATTTTTCAGTCGAGGTGGGGATGGTCCTGAGCGGAAGAATAGAGAGTGTGATAAGTTGGTTTGCATGGACTGGCATGGTTGTCCTCCCCTTCTCTGTTACTACCATCTTTGTTTTGCAAATCTTGCCACTGTCCTGCTTCTCTCTCTTGGGCTTTTGAATCCTTGGAATTAGAGAGATAGACAAGCAGAAGAAGGGGGCATATGCAAAATGCCATAAATGAGATCTGAAGAGGAAATGGATTATTTAATTTATTTTGGAAAAGTATATTATTCTTTCATTATAAGCCCAATTTCATGAGTTTTGTTTTATTTTTAGAGGTGATAAAATGCATGTTCAGATACAATTTTTTCTTCCTGGATGCTCCTATGTAGCTGAGATGTTTGGTTGTTTGTTTTTGTTGTTGTTTTTTTCAGATTTGCACCCAAGTAATCTGCATTAAACTTCTTTTAACATTATTACTACTATTCTCTTTCTTCTTAGCTTTAAGGTAACTACCATGCGCTATCAGCTTCAGTTTTATTTCCTCCTCCTCTATGTTGCAGCCAACTATAGGAATTCAAGTTTTCTCTTTTTCATTCTTGACATTACAGCTTTAGTCTGAACTGTGAGGGTGGGAAGAGGAAAACTAGGATTTTACAGCCGATGTCCCTTGGTGATGGACATGGTATATGTCTACTAATTACCAATCAAACATCTAGCCTGGAAAGAAGCATGATGAATGCTAATACCACCACAAAGCTTATGAGAGTATGGCTTGGCTTGGGGCAAAAGCAACCATGTATGCTATGGTGTTTGTAAGTTATATTGTACACTGCTTATTACATCCTTTCATTTTTCTCAGTTAGAAAATGGCCTTTGTTTGGTTTGGATTCACATAGCCCCCACTGAAAGCGTGAGGGAGCTCAGTCAATGGGTACCGTCTGTTACACGGTAGTCCCTCTCATGCATCTCTCCAATGCTTATTCCAGTTATTTCATCACAGTCTGTTAGCATGAGATCTGGTTCTCTCCAAGCCCCATGCCCACCCCTGCCCTTTTGGAAGGGTGGAGTGCCAGCAAAGAGAGTTGTACTGGAGATGTAGGCACAATCAAATGCCAGTGTTTGCAATCCTGACTGATTAAAACGTTGATTTATTAAGGCTTTCAATCCTAACTGCTGCTCAAAGACCGTTGTCTGGCATGGGAGAAGCGAGAACCCCTTGAGCTGGTTCATGAGAAGGAATAGGCTGGCAGCTGTTATGTTGGTATTTCAAATATAACTTTATCTTGTTAGGTTTAGTGGGACACTTATTCTGTCATTCACTAGCACCAAGGGTTGACCAAAATTAACTCCCAGAATACCGATTACTGGTGCTACCTTCTTGTTTGTATATGCAGATCATTTTTAGGATTCATTTTTCTTTTGGTAAGGGTTATTTCCAAACTGTTTTTGTTAATTTGAACTGCTATGCTTAAAAATCCTATTTTTTTGAGAGGATTATTTTTCTTTTTCCTTTTTTTTCCTCCCTCTTCCCTTTCCTTCCTTAGCTAGTCTCTTTGACTAACATATATGGTATTTTGTTGTTGAGTCCAAAAAGAGAACAGTGAATGACTGAGCCTTGAGTGAGTGTCCTTTGATATCTTGCCTATGTTTCGCAGTCTGCCCTCAAACTGTTCATAATCTCATGAGTTGCCTGTATTTCCAGTTGAAGATGAACAGCCATCGACGCTGTCACCCAAAAAAAAACAGCGGAATGGAGGCATGAGGAACTCGCCCAACTCCTCACCTAAGCTGATGAGGTAAGGGATGGGAAGGGGGACAGTGGGTGGTTCTCTCTCCAGCTTACTTCTCTCTCTCCTCCCTCAAGAGTCTTCCCTCCCCTCAAAAAAAAAAAAATGGGGTTGGAGGATAGAGATCATTAGATGGCTTCTTAAAGGCTGAAGTATTTATTCTGTCAGCTTGTCAGCAGTTAATGATAGAGCTGAAAAAAAATTCTGTCATGAAAAACAGTTTGAAAAGCTGTTTGAAAAATACATAGGCTTTAAAGTCTTAGCTGTCACCCTGTCCTGTCTGTGTGTTGTTCTTAAACAGCCCTGGCACTAATGATAGCACGAACCAATCAGAGGAAATCGTGGGGTTACTTTGCCTCTGGCACTTCTCCTTCTGCTGGAGTCCCTCCGAGGACTGTTTTCTGTACTTAAGGCCATATGTGAGATGTATCATCGCAATCAAAAATGAACCTGAATATTACCTTCCTTTTATCCTGTCGATTGAAATCAAATTTCTGTTAATTGATTTTGACTGATAAAAAAGTCTAATAATCTGTATACTTGCCAAAGCAAAGTTCAAAACTAATCTGGCTTCACTCAGGCTAAAAGCAATATTAATTATGAAATACAGAGGTATTTTTTTTTAGATGAGAACATCCATTAGGAGTTAAGGGTGAAACTATATTTGAATCAAATCTCTATTTTCCTCTTCTTAGACTCTCTGCTTTTCAGTCCTTCAGTTAGCTTTGCAACTTTCTACCTCCTCCTTCTCTCCTGCCTAACCCAGGAGTTTTTTCCCCCAGCACTCAATGGTAACCATAAGAAACCATCTAGTACATCCCTTTGTCATCATTTCAATGGAATCATCTGATGTTGATGGGAATCTATATTGTTGTTACTCAGAGTCTAGAGAAGATGATCCCATACTTTCTCTGCCAGCCTTCAAACTATAAACTTCCCACTAACCAGACCCACCCTCCATGTACCAGTTACCATGGTACTGCAGTGATTTGCTGATCTATGGAGCTTCCTATAAATGGCTTTCATTATCACAATGAAACACAATCAGTCTTCTAGGTTTGTTTGGTTTTTTTTTTTCTTGCATCCATCTACCACTTCCCTCTCTTTGATTATTGACATAGATGAATAATTATTTTCTTCTTCAGACACTCCTTATATTGTCAGTTTCAGCAGGCATCTCTTCTACCTTCAGTGTCTATACTTATAGGTCCTAGTCAAGGGTACACTTTCAAGATTACATATAATATTAATTTTAAAAATTACATATTGGAAGCGAGGTAGTACCCTAGTTCATAGAGTACTGGACCTGGAGTCAGGAAGACCTGAGTTCAAATCCAGCTTCAGACATTTACCAGCTGTTTGACCCTGTACAAGTCACTTAACTTCTGCTGCCTCAGTATCTTCATCTGTAAAATGGGGAACGGGGAACCTACCTCCCCGGGTTGTTGTGAATAAAAAATGAGAGAATATTTCTAAAGCACCTTAAAGCACTATATAAATGAACCTACCTATCATCATCATTTTTATATATGCAAGTATGTATCTGTATATCTATATACATGCTATATAATGTATATGTGCACACTCACGTTTGCCTCCATTGAGGCCAAAGAAATCAAACAGATAGGTAGAGATATCAGAGAAAGGTTCGTCCATCCAGCGGTAACCTTTATTCCCCTCCGATTGACCACTGATTCCAGTTAAATGTTTTGTTAAAAGTTGTCTACCTTCCCATTAGCTCAGGCTTGTTTGGATGACACTGATTTAAATGCTTGTTTACAGTTTATGAGAAGGAATAAAATGAACCAACTGCCAAGCTTCTCATTTTTATGATGCCAGTTGTCATGCTAGCATTCATCTCCAATTTACTCACCTTTGGGTAATCTCCTTATCCTGCACTAATAGTTTTATCCATTGAAAGTTGGAGGAGGGGGTGGTGGAGAATACAGGGAGGACAGGAGCCCTCCTTCCCCTCAATTGGGAGGCACAAATAAATAAATAAATAAATGCATACATAAATAAATAGAAACTGCAAATTCTGAAACCTTTGGAGCCAAATTCCCTGTCCCTGTTTGCTATGTAAAGTATGGCTCATTGCTTTGATCTTGAGTAATAATAATTCTGGGGAGTTATACTGTTTTCATATGCTTCAAAGCTGTGTCAAAGTTTTGCTGCTTAAGGGTGCTTCTTTATTCTGCTGGCTCTTGGGTACTGAGATGACAGGTCCTCTGTAAGAGGTGCAGGCTTTTTCAAGTCATAGCCTTCAGCAAAACATCAAATTACCAAATCCAGGGTAACACACTTCTACACAAATGCCTTTCCTGTAGATATATTATACCATATATATTAAATACTTTAGTGTTACACGGTACATTTTATGTGCAATGGAAAGTGATGGTTTGAGGTAGCCTTGGGGGGGACTTTTTTTTCCACAAGCAGAAAAAGCTAGTGTGTACCGTATCAAGTATGGTTTTTACAGGACTTTCTGCCCGAAGGCCTTTGTAAATAAGTAATGATCAACAGATTGGCTGTGGGTTTTTGAAAAGCATGCCTATGTCAGTTTGCATGATGGAGGAATATTTTCAAAGTGGATCCCGCTTTCATTGCCTGCCGAAGAGGGACTGAGGGAGAGTCAACATCCCAGGCTTGGGTTGTCTACTCACTAGCACATCAGAATTGCTAAACATGGGTCAGGAATCGAGCAGAGAACTTGCTCAGCTTCAGAGCCCTGATGTTTTGTGGTGGTGCTTTTGTCCAGCTGCCCCTCCTGCTGAGGGTCTCTGGCAGCACCTGCCATCTTTCCCTGCCTCATAGATGGGCTGAGCAAACCCATGGTCACATAGAAAGCCTTCCTCCAAACCACAGGGAGATGACTTGGGAGCACTGCAGCTTGGTGTGGTGGGTAGGGCACTGGATTTGGAATCAGGAAGACCTGGGTTGAAATCTTGCTTCCAATACCTTGATCGATCACTTAAACTCTAGGTGCCTCAGTTTCCTCACCTGAAAAAATGAGGGCATTGGATTTACTGGCTTCTACGATATCTTCCAGATGTAATTCTATGACTGTATTCTTTTACTGAGACCCATATAAAAGTCCATTCTTTTCCCCCGAGACATGAAGGGGTTTATTACATACATTGATGGCATCTAGCACTTAACAAAGTGCCTGGCACATATCAGGTGCTTCATAAATGCTAGTTGACTATCATTTAATCCCTGAATGCCAGCTTTTTGCCATGACTTAGCCTGTGAGAATTAGAGGAACTGATTATCTTCTCTTAGGTGACGTATTCAGAGATGCATCTTTCCACACGCTTTGAAATGTGAAAATGCAGACCTCTGTGTTCCTTGGTTTCACTGGAATGTGTGTAACAGGCTTTGGAATCCACTTGGTTCCTTCTCTTAAATCTCTTACGTTAGTCATATGACTCTCAGGGCCCCACAACTCAAGCACACCTTTTCAAAATTCCTATATACTCCCCTGCAGAGAACAAAGTGACTAATGGAAGGCCTCTTGAGCCTTCCTAGCCTCTAGTTAAGTTTCCTTTCTGGAGGAGATAGCATATGGCCTATTCACTGTGATCGGGACAATCCACAAGGAAAGAGAATGGCCTCTTTGAAGTGGATTTTTCAACCTTGACCTTGAATTCCTTGGACAGTGTTTAAACAGCAATCTATCATTTTGAAAATAGATGAGATTTTAGTGGTCTATGGGAAGTGATAGGAAGAGCTCAGATGTAAGCCAAAGAGCATAGAATGGTATTCAATTGTCCTTAATTTGTTACTTCCTCAAATAAAGCATCCTTCTGTTCAAATGTTACGTCCAAATTGTCTACCAAATAATAAGTTATAGTGGGCTTCCAACACATTGCCTTGTACCACCTTTTTTTTTCTAGACAAAGTTTGGCTGGTTTTCCCTTATTTGGTCCAAACCTATGGTTCCACTGTAAGCAGTCCTAGTGTAGAAACCCTCTTTGTTGATGCAGAACAGCAATCGATGTCTAACTTTTAGTCTTAAAGAGTTCTTTGGGAACTGAGAGGGTAGGTGACTTACCCATGGTCCCACTGTTAGTATGTATCAGAGGCAAGACTTGACTTCAATTCCTGCCTCTAAGGCCAGCTCTCTTTCTAGTATGCCACACTGCCTCTCAGATAAATTTTACTTATAGAAATCCTGATATATTATATCTTTCCATTATACTGACAGAAAATCACCCTTGGACCATGCTTGAGTTAGATGATAAGTTTGGGTGCCATGCCACTCGACATGACTTGGAATGGGGATGAGATCATCACAGCCACCTTTCATTTCATAGGTGCATTTAGCTTATGTTCAGGAGGCCTATTTTATCATTTTCCTTTTAACTTGAGACCAGAAAAATCAGTGAAGCACGGAGTTCCTATTTCCTAGTCTTCACTAGTCATGGAACATGTTGCCCCTTTTAGGACCAGAGGGAGAATTATTTCTCTTCAGTTGTCATCTTCTGGAGGGTAGGAATGTTAGTTTAGCCCAGGCTGGCTGGTGCCGTCTTTATAAATGTTTCAGTTATGGAAGAGACTTTGCCTAAATATAGGGGAAGGTAATAATTGCCCAGCATAGAATCAGTACAAGGTGTTAGCCAGAATAGCTGTTTCCCTATGTAGACTCAAAGAGCACTCAGTTGTAACCTTCATAAACCGTCTAGTTTATCCCTTTGTTCTCAACGTATTGGAACCATCTGATGTTGATGGGAATCCATATTGTTCTTGATCAAACTCTAGAGAAAAAGATCCCGTGCTTCCCCCACCCCAAGATGCTAACTCATGGTTTGGCTGTGGAAATAGCTCTAATGTTCAGAGACAGCCCACACTACCCCAATCTAGCCAAAACATTTTGTGGCTCAGAGCATGTCTTGGTTTTTCATAGAACACCAGCACAGGAATGTAAACTTCTTCAGGACAAGAACTAGTTTTTTCTCTATCTTTGTATCTTCACATGGTTCCTTGTGTATAGAAGGTACTTTAAAATCTATGTTGAATTGAATAGGAAATAGGGTTATCACTCTTCCTCCAAATATTTGATTTCTTCCATGGAATTTAGATCCCTGAGAACAAAGGACTGAAGCCGAATCAAGAGAACTCAAAAGCAGTCTGTGTCCCAGAGATATTATGGGGGACTAGGAATTAGAATAGAGTATAATCCCGCACCATATATTCTGGGGGAACTTGAGGAGACACACAGCCTAGAGAAAAGAAGATTGAGGGAGACACGATAGCTGTCTGCAAGTACTGTTATGTGGAAGAGATTAGATCTGTTCTGCTTGACCCTAGAGGAAGAATTAGTAACGATATGGGAAGTTGCAAAGGTATAGATTTAGTTTGAATATAAAAGGGGAGAAAACCCTCTCTACCAAATAGAGGAATCCTAAAGCACTTTGGGAGGCAATGAGTCAGTCCCCTCTCCCTAGACATCTCCAGGCAAAGAGCAGATGATCATTTGCTGCCTGTGTTGTAGAGAGGATTCTTATTTGGGAAGTCTTGGGATAAATGTCCACTGAGACCCCGTCTAAGATTCTGTGATTCCAAGGGGAATGTGCACAAAGGGCCATTAAGAAAGTTAAGTGGCAAGTGTGAGAACATGAAGTGAATGATTTGAGGAGATCCATGTGACCAGCACCCAGAAAATCATAGGCACCGTATCCCTTCAGGGAAGAGGAAAAATGGCATGAGAAGAAAAGCAGGTAGACAGGGAGGAAAAGGCTATTCTACACAGGCACGAGGAAGAGGGGGAAAGATATGCTTAGGTCTCTCCAGATCATTAAAGGAAATAACCTCACCTGTTCATCACATCCCATGCCCTTTATCTGGACATCTCTTTGCTTGAATGTCTCTGAGGACCTGGAGCAGCCAAGCCAGTCATGGTTGCCACACAAATAGAACTTGGGATGCCTGTGAAATACAGAAGTGGCTAGTAAATAAAATGGTGAAAAGTCCTGGACCTGTGCCAGCGAGCCACTTAAGGAAGTGTCACAGAAGCCCAGAGTGCCACCCTGGCAACTTCAGCCACTGAGTGGAATGAAGAGAGAAGGCAGTGTCAACCCAGCTAAGTCAAGCCACCTCTTAATGCACAAACAAATAGAATATGACAGGGCCCAAGGGGGCAGAAGAAGAAAGGAATAGTTGGTCTTCCCCCACTCCAGAGAGAGGGGTGAACTTGACACAGGCCTCTAGACAAGTAGCATACTCAGCAAAAGGTCATTTTGTGTCCTCATTCATAGAAGCTTCATAGGGGCTGCTGGCAAAAATAGGCTGATACACACATGTGAGTGCATGCGCCCGTGTATGCATACCTACATGCATGTCCATGCATATTCACACATCTCTATTTACTCTTGCATTTGTACTCCAAACATTCTCTTATTTCTAGTTAGCAACACCATACATCTAAAACATCCATTATTCTTGATTAAGCAAAGTCCTATGCCAGAAAAAAAGAAGGAAACTTCTACCTTTAGCAAGTAAATAGGGGACGAAGTGATTAGTATAGTGCCTATTATATGCCAGACACTCATAAATGTCATTTCATCATCAATCGTAGATTTTTCAAGCTGGAAAGGTTCTAAAAGGTTTCCTAGTCCAATCACCTCATTTTATAGTTGCAGAAACTGAGAGATACAGAGAAAAGGGCTTGGCAAGATCACCCACAATAGAGTCTGAGCTTGAACCCAAGTGCTCTGACCCCAAATAAAATATTATTCCCTCACCCATTCTCATTTTGGGGTGAAGGTGAGACAAGAGAACCATCAACCCTAAGTGGGGTACTCAGAGAAGCTTTTCTTCCCATTAACTGAATGGGCATAGACAGCTATTTATAGAGAGACACGTTTGGTCGTGTGTCAGAATTCCTGGCATTCTGAGGACCATGAACAGTATCTATACCATCCTCTCTTTCACCCCGTGGCCATCTCCCTTCCTCCTTTGTATATACCAGGAGAATCCTAGGCAGTCTTCTTTTGGACGATCCTCTTCTTACAGATTCTGTATAATCATTAGAGCATATATTCAGAGCTGCAGGGAACCTCATAGATCATTTAGTCCAATACCATCATTTTACAGATGCACAAACTGAGGCCAATAGAGGTTAAAATGACTTCTCAAAATTACATGGTTGGAAAACAATCTAAGTTAGAGTCAAAGCTGAGTGACTCCAATCCAACATTTCTTTGATGATAGCTCACTGCCTGGTTTTTTTAAACACTTTACTATTTTATAGCACTTGGCTCTCACAAAAGCTGTTTGAGGCAATAGTTCAAGTGCTATTGTTCCCAATTAACGGATGAGGAAATTGAGGTTTGGAGAAATTAGTTACCTTGCCTGAGTATTATAGCTTGAGCACCAGAGGCAAGAATCATGAGTTAATTAAAGCTTCAGTGGATGAGTGAGCTCACTCATGTAGATATCCACTCCAATGTGAGGATAGCAGTCCCTCTAAACCTTCTCATTTCATATGAACTCCTGGCTGTATTATATATAAGCATGGCCAGGTAACAGTAGATGCATATAAGAGAATGACGTTCCCCTGGGAAATTAGTGGCAGGAGTGGTAAGCTCAGAATGAGCTTTAGACTTGATGTCAGGAAAAAAAAAAACAACAACTTCCTAACGAATAGAGCTTTGCAAAAGTCTGAGAGAGAGTAGGTTCTTCTTCATTGGAGTTCTTCAAGCGGAGGCTGGCTGGCCTGTCATTTATGTTATAGGGGGGGATCCCTTTTGGTCACGAGTTGAATTAGGTGGTCAGTGAGTTCCCTTTATTGTTGTTGCTGGGTCATTTTGATTGTGTCCAACTCTCTGTGACCCCGTTTAGAGTTTTCTTGGAAAGGATACTGGAGGGGTTTGCCATTTCTTTCTCCAGTTCATTTTATAGATGAGGAACTGAGGCAAACAGGGTTAAGTGACTCACCCAGGGTCACACTGGTATGAAGTGTCTGGAGCTGAATTTGAATTCATAAAGATGAGTCTTTCAGTGTTCTACCCACTGTGCCACGTAGCTGCCTAATAAGGTCCCTTACAACTTTCTGATTCTGAGATTTTACAATTAAATTTGTCATCCAATGGTGATAGTGTTATGTTCTGTTCTCCCCCAAGATTCTATGATTCTTTTCACTTCCTAAGTACTTAAGAATTTACACCTAAATTGTTTCATTTTTAACTTGGAAGAGGAATATGTGTCAGGGAAGAATGAAAAAAATCCTATTAGATTCATTAAAATAAGTATTGAACTTTTTAAGAACTAACATCTAATAAGAAATAGATGTAAATTTGGTTTTTTTTTCCCTCTAAGATTCCATGCTTGTTTTCCTTGCTGCGAAGTGACTTCCATCTGTCCTCTGTGGAGATTGAAGAGAGAGAGAGAGAGAGAGAGAGAGAGAGAGAGAGAGAGAGAGAGAGAGAGAGAGAGCCATTAACATAACACACATGTGTGAATGATTCTCTCTAGACCTTTCTGACATCCGTTCAGACTGAGGGTCATCAGTACAGAACAATAAAGATAGGCCATGGCCATCGTCACCAAACTGGGCAAAAGCTCTCATGCCTCTCCCCAACATGTCAGTGTCTCTGCTTGCCCAGGACAAGCCATCACTCCGTGCTGGCGAAGCTTTATAGAGATCAGTCAAAGCATTCAGGGAAGATTGAAGTGACAGGGGCCCACTGAGCAAATAGTGAAACATACAGTGCATCATGAAATATTCAGCCCTGACATAGGAGCACTAAATGCTTTCTCAATTAAGAGCACCTATCCTGGCAGCCGGCAAACAGCAGTATTGTGTTCTCTGCACTGGTTTGTCACAGGGAGTGGGACCAGACACATTCTAGGCGGTTTTGACAGGTTACTTTGCTTTCAGGAATGTCCCCACCTCTGCACATTGCTCATGGGTGGAGAGAAGTGTGCCTGAACAGATGTCCCCAGTTTGTCTCTAGGTGTCCTGCCAGTCACCAGGGCAGGAGCTGGGTGTGTCCGGTCCTTTACAACTAAGGCAAGAGAGCAGCTCCCTGACCTGAGTATGTCTTGGCCCTGGAAAGGGAAACCTCCCATTTCTTCCAGAACTGATGAGATTTTGGCAAAAAGCTAATGACTGTTAGGACCCTGATGCCTAAACCTTATGACCAGATACCTCCCACCTCTTGCCTAGAAGTCATTTTTCTCCAGTCCCTGTGAGCAGCCCCAAATCTCCAACCCAAAAGATAGGGAGCTTTGCAGAGGTAGGTAATGACTTTTCAGATTATTTTAAATGAAGGCCATGAAATCAAGATGATCACAGATTTGAAGCTAGAAAAAGCCTCTGAGTCCATATGGTCAACTACTTCCTCCCCCCTCCCTATTTAATTGATGAGGGGAAATGAGGTCATGAAACCGAGTCCTGCGTCTTTGATGCAGTGTTTTTGTCCATTGTATTAAGTTCAGTGGGGGAGTGAGTAGGTCAAAAAATTTCAGACGGTATTTTGTGCTGTTCTCTATCAGTGGCTTAAAAAAGAATCCCAAACCTTCTACCTCAACTGAAAGTCCTAAAGTTCAGTATCAAAATCTCCGGAGCAGAAGATGTTGGGAGTTGCAGTACATGCCTGCAAGGGAATCTGTGCTCTTTAAAATATAATCCAGGCTTCCTCACAGCGGGTTTGCTGGAAGAGGGATTTGTGGTTTTGCTCTAGGCTGTTGTCTCCAAGGCAGGCTTTTTGGTTTTACCGCTGTAGAGTGGCATTTGTTTGCTTGCTGAGATTAATTGATGGTAAGTGGCATTTGTTACTCTATGAAAGCTAGAAACAATGATATTTTATTCTTTATTTGAAGTCAGGCAGGAATAATTTCTAGCTGAGGACCTTGGAGGTGTTATCTTGGACTTAAGGAACAGAGATGTGAAAAATTTAACATGCCAGGCTTTCTCTACTGAAAAGAAAAGGAAAAAAAGAAAGAGGGGTGGGAAGGCATTTATTGTTAAAGCAGAGTGAAGGTTTTATTGCCTTCATATACAAGGGACATCACACACAATGATTGTCAAGTCTATCTTCAGCTTATCCTTTGGGGCAGTTTTCTATGGAGGAGTCCTGTAATGGCCCAATGGTCCAATGGAATGTATATGCCATATCATGTTCAAGTTGGAGATTGAGTCTTGGAAGTATCACGACAGACAAAGAGGCAGAGCCAGAATCTAACTATCCATTCTGTCTCTCCACTCTCCTTAATCTAATTTTAAGTTAAGGCTAATTTAACATTTGGGTTGGC